CTTTTCTTCTGTTGTGGTTTTCTCACTGAAGAGTTTGTGCTGGAGGCCAGCATGACACAGGCATCGCCTTGCTCTGTGAAAGGGAGAGTTACTTCTTATTGTTTCTCTGCAGTTTCTATATGCTTTGCCAAGAAAAGAAGGCTATGAGTTCTTTGTGGGGCAGTGGTCAGGAACAGAACTGCACTTCACTTCGCTAATAAACATTCAGGTGAGTGGTTGGACTAAGAAGTCCAAAAATGGCTTAGAGTCCAGAAATAGATAACATCAGCATATTATAATGTATAATATTTGGTAAGTGGTTTAATGAACAGGTTCTCTAGCTTAACTTGAAAATAATTGTCATGGAAAAACTGCCATTAATTATGGGTACTTAATAAATTTATGGGGACTAAAGGGACTAAAGGTGCTATGGGATCTAAAGGACAATGAAGTAGAAGCCAAACAGTCTGAAAATAGAAGCAAGAGCCAAAATTTTACAATGATTTGTGCAAGCTACTTAAAATAGCAGTAGATGCTATGAGATGAAATATCTTTCTGGAAATTGCAGGTTCTTTTAAATTCAAAATTATCTTTAGTCAAGGAAAATACTTTACCCTAAGTCTGCAAATCCCTTGTTTTCTGTAAATGCCAGGAATTTTTTATTTAGAACAGACCTTAAGCTCTGAAAAATGACTGCCTCCATAGCAGTTTTGTAATTGAGCCTCCGAATCTGCAGTAGGGCTGAAGTTCTTTATGGGATACTTATGGGATATTTATCTCCTTCAGACTCAAGGTGAAACTGCTCCCAGCCAGTTGGTCTTGTACCATTATCCTGAGCTGCAGAAGGAAAAAGGGATAGTGCTAATGACTGCAGAAATGGACTCAAAGTTCTTGGTAAGAGAAACCTGTTCATTGGCTTCCTTCATTTTATGCTGCGACTCCTTCTGTAGTTTTGAAATAAAACCAAATTAAGGGTCTTTAAAAGACCCTTTCCCAAAGAGTGGTCTTAGATTTCTTAAACCTAATCTACTCAGTACTAGGGAAAGCTATAAGGAATCATCAGTCTTTGGCTGTCTGGTGATTTCAGCACATTCATTCTTCTCCCCCCTTACTCTGGGTATTATAGTTTGTTGTTGTATAAAATAGAAATGCTACTGGTTTTCTTATTAACAGAAGGAAATTGAAATGAAAGCTGCTGCTCCCTGCCAACAAGTTAAAACAGTGACACTTAACACTGCTCGTCACATCAGGAGACCTCCAGAGCTTTGTGTTAGGTTTCTGTGCGCCTTTGCTCTTTTCCCTACGTGTGGCTGTACTGTCATTTGTGTCTGTAATACGACAGCGCTGAGACCAGTAGCACCAGGGATCGCACTGGCGGAACAAGATTATTAAAGCATCCCACCTCTGACTGACCCACTTACACCGCTTGTGAAGCGCTGTGCAGAGCTGTCACTGGTAATGCATTTCCCCCGTTGTATCTCAGGGTAAACAATGACTTTTGCAAATAGGTCAACCAGAAGAAGGGAAAGATGAGAGTTCAGTGCATTTCCAGTGCCTTAGAGTGGGCAGGGATCGTGAAGGACATCTGTGACCTCTGAGGTGTACCCTCAGCAGGGGAGTAGTTGAAAAGCGTGGTGCTGAAGTGTGTAAGTAGGTCAGAAACAAGTGGGAGGTGGTTTTTGTTACGAGACTTGCTAAACATTGAGTCATTTGATGAGTAGGGCTGCAGCCTTTCAATGGAACGCTCAAATACAACAAAACCTGATGGTAACACATTCTTTATTTGAACTTGCAGGTAGCCCATGAAGCACAGTGCTTGGCGAATCAGGTGCAGCTTTTCTATGCTACGGATCGGTCTGAGACCTACGAATTGGTGGAGACCTTCAACCACAGATCTAGTGAATTTAAATACATGTCAGTTATAGCAGAGCTTGAGCACAGTGGACTTGGAAGAGAACTGAGACCTGGTCAGGTTTCTGACAAGTCGTAGAGCCTGACGGGCAGGTGAAGCGAGCCAGCAGCAGGCAAGGGGCTTCCTGGATGAGGTGGTCCTGTCTCTCTTGTTTTGCGGATTTGATTTTGCTACAGTAAGGGTCTGGAGACACCCTGGGAGTGCCATAGTCAAGCCTGTCTGACACTGATGCAAGATGAGGACTTGGACCATTTGAACAACCGTAACTAACTGCCAAACTGCAGCCCCGTACTTCAGTATACCTTCATCAGAACGAGCTGCTTTCCCATCCTGTAACTTACTGCTGCATGCTGTGTTCTTGAAATCTGAAGTGAAGTAACAGAAGAGGACATACGTACTGGACTGTGTTGACATCAGGAGACAGACAACAGTCAATGTTTCTTCTCAGCAAATGCATTTTAAATGCCCTCCACCATTATAATTGCATGGTTCAGTGCTTTTTAATGTGTGTGGAATTTATACAAGCCTGTCCATCCAGAGAAGAGAACAGGACCAATGCTCTAAAACAGAGTCCTCTTTGTTACTTTGTGTGCGAGGTCCCTTACGCAGACGTATACTGTAGCCTGTGTTTTTCTCAGGATTAAAATCTAGAGTGACTAGATTTGTTCTGGGAATTTTGCTCTTAATTGATACATTGGTTTTATCCTATTGTGTTTCTGTCTCAGAAATGTTTTTCTTGAGTAGGATATTCTAAACATGGTTTTATTTTTGTATGTTTTTGAACAGTGTAGAGGACTTACTACATGCTTTGTAGCATTAAGTTCTCTCAGACTGGCAGCTGGTCTGGTAACTCTACAGATGGTGTTTGGAGTGACACAAAATAGCTCTTGTCCCCATTTCAGGAAAGCTGCCGTCTCCAAGAGAAGCAAGATGGAATTGCATTGTAACAGAGCTGGAGCCACCAACTGGTGGCTCAACTGTGACAACACATGACAAAATGCATTGGTGTGAACATGCACAGCAGCTTTAACACGGCAGTGTTGGTGAGAACCTGGCTTTTAAGAGCTACGGCTGGTTTTGTTTTTTTTTAAACCTGCCTTCAACGAAGGAATCCCAAAGCATTTGTGCTTTGAGCTTCTCTTACTCCCAGCAGAGGCAGCCAGTGCATCTGAAGACAAGGGCATAGGGCAGCAGTGCTCAGTGCACAGACTATCAGCATTCTACTGCTGCACAGGTGGACAGACACAAGGAAAGCCAGGAGCTTCCCAGGAGCAATGCTGAAATATTTCCCGTATCCCCACCAAATCCCTGGCACTGACTTGCCCTTAGCACTAATTATCCAGTTATTGCATCTTCCCTGCTGAAGCTGGAAAGCATTCCCTCCTTTGCCAAAGAAAGGGAAGCGGGAAGGGCAGGCACTTTGTCTGTCAGAGAAGGACCAGTATTTTGGGCAGGGCTGGTAACACATTTTCTGTGCTACCCTTAACTGCGACCTGATACGGAGGTTTGCTGAGTTACAAAGGGCTCTTGCACAATCTGTTAAGGCTGTAGGACAGGACCCCGTTGCTGTAATACTTGCTGTCACTCTGTACTTTCTCAGCCCATTCTCTGGATGTGAACGTTGCTCAGCTAAGCACTGAAGGTAGATAGTAAGGTTTTATTGTTGGGGTCTGTTTTAGCAGTGACTCCTATATGTTAGGGATGAACTCCTGTCCTTTCAGGGATTAAAGAAGATCTGTCTAGAAGAGGCACAGCTTCTCTTGGGGCTGTGCTGCAAGAAGGTGGTGCTGCTCTGTGGTAACATCTTGTTTCTGATTGCATTGGGCTCATGAGTGTGTGCATAGCAGAGGAGAAGGTAGGGCTGTTACAGTCTGAGCAGGAAATCACCTTTATTAAAGAGCTTTTCTACTTCTGTTTTATAGCATTCATGCTCCATTTATCATTTTCCCTTAGCTGAAATAAGGGCAGTTTTGAATCCTTATTCCTGCTTGGAGGAAGTCAAGGTTGCTGTGTTATTTTTTTTT